ATGGGCAAATCAATCAACCAGGAACTAGAAGCAAAGTTCTAATGCTGAGAGGTAGAGTGAAGACTTTCTGTTAAAATATATGACACTGGAACTAAAATATTTTTCCTCAATTCAAGCTACAAAAATAACTAAAAGATTTATGTTAATAGAACACTTTCAGTAAATTGTATCTGTATTATTTTGTCAAGAATATACCATATGATACCTAGAATTCATTTACCCACAAAATACCACTTGATATTCATTTTGGAAATGATAGTTTAGAAACAGGTTTTATTGGGGTATCAATATATATACACAAGGGAGATTTATAACTCTCTAAAGACATTTACTATAAATAAATGCATCTTGGTTCAGAAAAAAACTTGATAAATGCTAACATTTTAGAAAGACTAATGGCATTTTTAGAGACATTCACAGCAATTTCACTTTCTTATAAATGTTTTATGAATATAAATACCTTTATGGAGGAGGTAGTTTAAAATTTATAACATTATTTACAGTATTTATTACTGACATTTATACTGGGATGACATATATATTTTAAAACTTCCTTTTATAAACACATTTACTTTGCCATTGAGAAAAAAAGAAATGTCTGTTCTCCTCTAAAACTGAGAACTAAATAAGTTATGTGAGCAATGGTTCTTTCATGAGTTGTACATAAGATAAAATTTGATTCTAGCCTTGTTCTTATTTTAGTGTTTATAATAGCACTGGTAATACTACAACCAAAAAGAATAAAATAGTTGTACAGATGCTGAAATGTTAATATCCTTCTCTTCAAAAGCATTTTGTATTAAATAACTTGTATATCTTGATGTTCAAACGAGTCATTTATATTCTCAAATACATTTTGTACATAAGAAATGAAATATATTAAAGTTTTTTTCAGATATTTCTTCTTTGCTTTGGAAGTCAATAAAAACATTGTCTGGTTTTCTCCTATCCCTTTGAGCATACCATATTGATAAAATCAGTACTCTATCCTAGGTTCTCTCTCCTCTTAATATTTACATGTTTTTAGAAGTCTCCTCTCCTACAGCTTCAAATGCTTTGCATGCTCAAGATCCTCAAAGCCTTACCTCCTCTCATTTCTCTCCCGAGTCCCAGACCCAAGAGGACCACTGCCAAGGGGTAATCCCTATCAACCTGCCTTCAAACTCAGCTTGTGTACAAAGAGAATTATCTTCTTTTTCCCATGTCCAGTCTGTTGCCCCTTCTTTGTTTTATCATTTCCTAGTCATTATTCTTTTCCTACCTCTCCTCACCCATATCTAATAAGCCACTGAACCCAAAATCTCTTACATAGTAAATGGACTTGAGCTGTTTGAGCTATAATCATGACCAATTAACATGCATGCTTTCACTGCCTATGCCTTCATACAGTCCTTTAGCATGTCTGCATAAGAATTAACCTGACAAATTTTTAACAAAGCTCCCTGCCCCTCCCCCACTCCATTTTAAATGCAAAAATAATCAAACTATTTCAACACAACATTCTTTCCATTGCTGTTGATATGAAGTGCCCACTCCATAACATAGCTTATGAGCCATGTTTCTGGGTTTCTGCTTAAGTCTCCAGCTCTAGTTCTCCTGCTTCCATCCACCAGGTCAGAGGATGTGGTCATGGTCTGAGTTCTTCCAATATCTGGAAAAATGTCATCATGTCCATGTACTTTGCTCTTCTTGAAAGTGTTAGGTAGCCAAATCTTACTTAACCTTGCTGGACTATACTGGGATGTTACTTTACTAGTTGTCCTTTCTAATTTCCTAAATTCCAGTGCACAGGCTATCCTCATGCACCCCATATAGCACCTTGTACATTTGATATCAAGTCACTTATCACAATGTGTTGGAATTGTCTCATTTGTTCATATTACCCCCCTCGTTTGTGAGAACCATGTTGAGACACAGCATGTATTTCTTTATCAGCACAGGGCTGGACAGAGTACTCAGTTTCCATTTATTAATAAAAAAATTAATGAATGTCCTAGTTTAGCAGATGCTTGTCTTTCTTAGTGGTGGATCATAGAACAAATGTATGAAGAACAGACAAGTGAGCATGCAACATAAGACTGATTGGCCAATGGGAGAAGTCCTTTCACAGATCTCCAGCAGATACTTGGGCATGTGCAAGGTATTGGGTAGGTAGGTCTGGAAATAGAGACTTGTGATAGATTACTAAAGAAATCTTGCAAATGGAAAGGCAGTTTAACCTTAAGCTAATTTTCTGGGCAATATCAAAACTATATTATAAAAAGTTTATCAGAGAAGTCTGAAGTGGAATGGATATGGGAGAATGAAGCTATTGCATGAAAGTAGAGGAGGAATGTTTCTAAAAAGAAACAGGACACTTGTGCAGAGTACATGTAGAAAGTGGGTTTTTTGAGAGATAAAGGCAGAACTATTTGCTTAATAAGAAGTCACAGTTGGAGTCACTATTAAAAATAGTTAACATTAAGGATTTACTTGACAGTTTTATATTTTAGACTAGAAATTCTTCAGATGGTTCTGAGTTAGAGGCATTTACTCATTATAATGTTGAGTATGTAACAAAGAGTATGGGATATACAAATTTTGAATTCCCTGGAGACCTTTAACATCATAACTTTTCTCTATTAAATTAAATGAAACAATCTCTTTTAGCTTCTGAAATAGGAATTTGACCATCTCCAAACTCATTGCTGTCTTTTAAACTTTTTAAAGAGATAATTTAACAAAATATCAAAGATTAATTTTGCTAAATTTTATTCAAGCTGAAATGCAACTATCTGATGAAGACCCTGGCCATCAGGATCCGTGTGGTGTGGCCGCAGTGAACAAATACACACAGACTACAGAAGTCCTGTGGAGAATAAGGGATAGCATGGCAGCTCTCTGAGTGAGAGAGAGAGAGAGCCCAGCCCCTGCCTGGACAGGCTTTTATTGCTTTTCTGGGTTCATTACATTGAGGATGGTCCTCATTTACTATGCACAGGTTCACTGTAGGTGGTTACCTTTTACAGATAACAAAGGAAAGAATGTTGCTAATTACTTCAAAGAGAAGGATGCTACAGATCAGGGGGAAAAGTGGTTGAACTGGTTATACTCCGTACTTGGGAGGTTTAGCACAGATTTTAGGAAGTTACAGTAAGCTCTTGCTGCCTCAATTCAAGGTGAGGGAGTTTTACCAAAAGCAAGTCTCATAGCAGTCTAGGTACAAGGCCTGATTCCCCACAGGAAAACCTATCCATGGGTATGGGTCCTGTGTGCCAACTTGCTCCCCACTGGCCTTTCTGAGTGGGGGCTGAACTACCATCTCACGCCATGTGGAACAGCTCCCCATAACTATCCATGGAATGGAGTCTATATTCAATAATTTGTGTGAATTTAAATTTTGGATTAAACACATTTTCTCCTAGCCATGTAGTGTTTTCTTAAACACACACACACAGAATGTCAGTCACCTTACCCTTTGATAGTTTGGGTGATTACAGTAGTTTGCTTTACAGTTTCAGTTTCCCATGGTCAGTCACAGAAGAACATATCAAGGTCTCTCCAGAAGGTATCCAGCCATGTGATATGAAAAATAGAAACACTTACTGAAGAAGATACAAGATACAAGAAATATTGTGCATAGGACAATGATGCCTCAGTCCCCTTCAAAGTAGGCACCTTGGGACCTGAAATAGTTCTCCCAATTGCCATTAGCTGCCCTTTTGTATTATCCTGAATCTGATCGACAGTATGAAATCTCTTCCCTTTCAAAGGTGATTTTAGTTTTGGGAAAAGCCAGAAGTCACAGGGCATTAAATATGTGCTGTAACAGGGTGGCGGGCTGAGTCACCTGGGTGATTTAATGTTTTGCCTAAAAACTCTGCATGAGACTTGATGCATGAGTGGGCACATTGTTGTGATGAAGCTGCCGATCACCAGTTGTCCATAGCTTCAACCTTCTGAAGTTTCCACAGAGTAATGTTCAAGCTTAATGAAAAATTAGATGCAGATGCATTGCTCTACTCACTCAGGCATTTTGAATGTGTTGGCCACACAGTACACATGCTCATTCAATGGCGTCTACCATCCCCAGTGACTAGCACAGTGAAATCATCATTATTTACTCATGTGCATTCTAGCCCACTCTCCTTGGCTGCACCAATTTCACACAAACTGTTCTTGTTATATTAACAATGGCTGGACTTTTTCCAGACAGACCTTGTACCGCAGGATTTATTTCTATAAATGTCACAAACAGATGAAATTAAGTAATTTGTTGTTTAGGGATACTTCCATATGTAAGGTCTAAGCATATAAAGAAACCATAGTAATGGTTAATCCAAAATTCATGATGGTGGTCAACTCTGGGAAATAAAAAGAGGGATAATTTTTAGGAAGAACTCACAAAGTTTCCATAATGACATTTAACATTCAGGTGCACTGGAATTTATTTCATTATTGCTCTTTCAATGGTACATATACATTATATGCACACTTTGTATGTATGATGTATTTTATAATAATGCTTTAAAAATGTAATTAATATCTCATCAAGTTGCTTAATTCTTGTAACTTGAGATTTTTTCTAATTCTCCAATGTGACTTTATTGTTCACGATGCTATAATGGGTGGACAGTATTAATAAGTGAGACTTGAATGAATTGCTGAATTAAAAAGACAAAACACACTGTGACGTATGCTTCCTCTCAAGAAGAGATGTCCTGCAGGAAGCCTGAGAAGTGCTAAATGTGGTTTTGCAAATCCTCAGTGGTTTATCCCTCATTTGATAAGCAATGTTTGGTTTGAATACATTAATTGCTGAAATTGTTTATATGTCTGTCATTTTTAAAAAGGAACAGGAAATGGAGAGTGAAAGAAACATTAGCATAGTAGCTTATGCTAATGCATTCTCATTTCTCCAACCTTAAGTGCCCATTGAGGTCATGACTGTGTATTATTTACTGATCAGTCTTCAGTATCCAGCATGGTATTCTCTATTTCAATTATCTTTCATGTTTCAGACAAACCTGGTGAAAATTCTTTTGATGCACCAAGCAAATCCAAACCTTCTGAACTGCAACGAAGAGAAGGCCTCAGGTAGGTTGTGAGTGTCCTGGGACCACTGAGCAGTCACTGTTTCCTTCCTGTCCTATGTAAGTTGTTCATCTGACATGAGCATACCTAGGAAATGGGAGTCAGTTTCTCCTGAGAAGCTTTGTGACAACCCCTGCTTCAAGCATGAGTCACAAACTCAGATGCACTGCTCCAGGACAAGAGGATGTTAGAGAGCAGTTAAGTTTATAGGTTACTGTGTGCTTCATTGCAGTTTGCCATTCAGGCTTTAAACTTCCAGTGATTCCTGCAGTGTCATTAGTTTAAAATATTTTCACACTTTTAATTTAACTGGTTTCTCATCATACTTAATACATGCTTGTTCACTAGGGTATTTTTAAACAGTAATAGTATTTTTCTGAACAGATATTTATACTGCAAGAAATAGAGACTAATGTTCTAAAGATAATTTAAATGTTTGAAAATGTTAATTTAATTTTACTTATTTTTAATAAATATATTTTAAACATTTCTAGAGTTCTTTTTACCAGTGTTCATATATATTTAGATATGTATTTTAAAATTGGATGCCACATTTTTTTTGCTTTTAGAAAATTTGACAATAAAGTTACTACTCATAAATTATTTTGGTATATTAAAAAGTTATAAGAAGAAAGTCTAGAATAAGTAAGAAAATAATATAAAATTTTGAAAGTAGTAATTGATCTGAATATTATATATCTCCTTGTTCTTCTTCTTGCTCTAACTACTAACCTGAGATTTCTTATTTAATGTACTATGGGAGAGAGTGTGATTACCTAATAAACCTCTAGTTTAAGACAGGATGAGGGGTTTGCTGTGTTACTTGTTGTATTGGAATTCAGTATCATTGTTGAAAGTTTTTTAATCTCTGCTACAATAAACTGATGATTTAACAAACAGAGCTATGATAGCTTGATATTCAAACTTTAGAACAGACTTATATTAATGATAGTATAGTAATTTTAACATGAACAACAAAAGCATGTTTAATGGTAAATATTAGAGGAGCAAATATAAATCAATAACTTTCTTCTATTTTTTGAATGATTTTTTTTATTATGAACTATAAGTCATGCTCTCTGTTAACTCTACTCTAGTTCTAACAGATCATATTTTCATGTTCATATCCCTGGCTTCTTGCCCAGAGAAGGGAAAATATGATTGACCTTGGACTACACAGACTCCCATCTGTCACTCTTTTACCTTTTAGGTCTAGTGTCAACTGTGCCAAAATGGACATCCAAGGTAAATGACAGTCTTACAGCCCCAGGGAATGACTAAACCTTGGTCACCTCAGGCCTAGTGTATGATGACTCTGACAGTTTTGCCCGAGTTGGCCATGCCATGTCTACCATCAATATTGGTCATGAGAGACATAACGATGTGACAATAGTAGACCTTGAGTGAACATTTGTTGATTGAGTAAAATACTTCTCTCATACACAAGGAATAATGAGCTATAATACAGTGAGAGGTTACAAGTAAATTCATGATATCCTGACATTCTATTCAAGAGCAAGAAGAATGAAGCAGATAAAACTATAGTGCAGAGAACAATGGACCTGACACCCATATTTTGACTGAGCAAATGAAAATTATCACAGTACTATATTATATTCTAGCTATTTTGTGTTTTTTAAATTTGAAATGGACACATAAAAGTTACCTGAGGAATTAAAGTCATTTGGGGTATAGCTGTTAGGTGGGGCAGAACTAATCTCCCCAGGCAAGGAAGCTGAGCTGTCTCCTACTCATTATGTGGTTATGATTTAACCTAAAGCAAATGATAAAATTCTGACATGAATACCTTCTTGAGGTTGCTGAATTACCATATCCAGGCAATAAAGCCACGTAAGTCAAATTTAAGTCAAATTTAAAGCCACATAAGTCAAATTCAAAGGTAGTCATGAAGTTTAGTTATGAGGGTTAAAAAGGAGCAGTTGCCTCCATTAGATTCCTAACTGTTATTAATGCGAAGTTTTCTTCAGGATTTATTGATTTCCAGTATCATTTGTTAATAAGTGTAATAAGTTGATTATTGTCCATCTATAGTTCTGTCCAGATATGTTCAGATGTCACTGTTAATATGTAATTTATAAGTAATTACTGTATAATAACTCATATTTCAGATTGAGAGGTTAGACCCAGTGTTTTAATATCTGTTTGTACATCTACTTATTTAGTGAATTGTTTTAGAACTTAATACATGTTTTATAATAGCACAGTTTTTCTGAATGTATAACTATTTTTATCATTTTGTTTCATATTCATCAAGATGAAGGAAGAATTTCACTGAAAATACAATGACATCAAACTTAGCTTCTCAAGGATTTACATTTTACTCATTACCACTTAGTGAAAATTATTTTTATATATTTTTCATTTCATTTGTAATTAAATGTCACTAATGTGAAAAATATAATCTTTTTAAATGGCAGTACAATAATTTTATTTCTACCAAAAATTTTAATGTTTTTATTTTGCCACATGCTGATAAATTTTGGTATTTTCTGATTCATTGAAAGTAAATAGTTTACTCTGATTTCATCAGCCCCTTTTTCTGATTTAATGTTTTGTGTAGATATTGCTGCATCTGAATTTATTGAGGAAATGCTGCTAAAAGCTGAAATGGCCTGGGAAGAAAAAATGAAAGAGCCTTTACCTGTGCCTACCTTAGCACAAGAGGAGCCCTATGAAGAGATCATTCATGATCTCCCAGCCCTTTCCAGTAAGCTGTAAGTGCTGTCTTTCTAAAATGATTAAGCCATAGACCTGGTTCTCAGCTGAGTTAGTTATTCTCATTTGTCTTCTTCTCTAATCACCAGTCATTTTACAGTCAACATTAAATCTATCTCTCAACTAAAAGTTGGAAAATTGAAACTACATGTCAATATATTTATCAAAAAATATTTGTTGACAATAACGAGTTTAGCATACTTTTATGAAAACCCTCTGTTTTCTTTAAACACTACTACTTAGTAATTAGATATACTTTTTAACACAGGATCAAAGATAATATTTTAAACTCACTCCAAATTGTTAGCTAAACCTGTATGTAAGGTTTCCAATAACTATCATGATGGCTAAATTTCCTAAAGTAAGAAATTCAACTATTTATTTCTCTCTAAAGTTAAAACTAATGATTTTTTTGTAATCTAAAGTATCTCCTGAATATTAACACATGCTACAAGGAGGATACACATTAAAAACATTAAGTAAACAGAGGAAGAAATAAAAGTCCACATATGATATGTTACCATTTATGTGAAATGTCTAGACTTGTCAAATCCATGGAAACAGAATGCATTTAGTGTTTTTCAGGGGTAGGGAGAAGACGTAACGAGGAGTATCTCTTAATGGATGTGGGTCTTTGGATATGATGAAAATGTTCTGAAAGTATATTTTTATACAAACGTGAATATGCTAAAAAATACAGAATTGTACACTTTAAAGGTGTGGATTTTATGCTGTGCAAATTATATCTCAATAAAAGAAATAAACACATAAAGAAAAGAAGATAAAATATATTTCAGGTTGAAAACAAAATCTGCTGTGTACAACCAATGGGACCTTGAGGAAATTACTTCATTCTATGAACATGTTTCTTTTTCTGACAATGGACATTATATCTAATATTGGAATATTTTAGGGTGCCTTGGATAAATAGCACTATGTGGTTTCTGGACAATCTGAGAAATAATTAAAGAGAAAAGGTGGAGTCCATGTTGCTGCTGATCAGTGATAGGAGATACTTTGAAGGATGCTACTGATTGTAGCAGCTGAAAGGGTTTACAATTATGTCCCATTATCAGGTAGCTTTACCAACTAGGCACCTAGAAACCAGATCAGGTCTCCCAAGGGAGGGGGCTCCCAGACAAGGTTACAGTACATAGGAAGAGGAAAACTGCTCTCTGTGGGAAGGCTCGCTCCAAGGAGAAGGAGGCCCTGGCTGCGGAGACACTCTTTCCAGATTCATCCATCAAACGATTTGTTCCACTTCCCAAATGTGGAGGGAGACCCAGAATTAGCATGATTAGATTTCCTGGGAAGTTGAAAAGGTGCTGCCAAAGAGCATGTCCCAAGGCTGTTGTGATAAATAAGTAAGCTCTAAGGGGGAAGATCTGATTTCAGAGCCAGTCTAATGACCAATGTTCAAAAACGCTTTTAATTTAAAATTAATCTAGACAATTCAGAGGTTAAAGCCATACATAAATTCACTCACTTCTACTTAACACTAAGATATAGTCATTATTGAATTGGATTCTTTTTAACTGTATTGTAAAGGAGCTTGATTTTTATGTGAGACACTATGCTAAGAACCTTCATGAGTTTTCTATCATCAGTCTGCAAAGCCCTATTTCTCTTATTTTCCTAAAATCACAGAGCTGGAAAATGATGGATTAAGATTTGAAGCCCAGCAGTTGGATCCCACATCATTCTTACCTATTCTTACCTATACTGCATTTGCTACCTGCTCTTTTCACAAGTAAAAAAAAAAATGGTATCACATTTACGTAGGAGCAAAGGGAAGAAGTCATAGACAGAAAAGTTGGCATCAAGTCAGGAAATAATTGATGAGACAAATTTCAAGTTACCTAAAATGAATGGTTAGAATATTTTGACCTTGCTCTTTACATTTTTATGTTACTGATATCACTGGAATGAGAGGAATCATACAAATATTTGCTATGGAAGAAGGTTTCCAGGTATTGATATTAAAATCAATATCCAATATGTTTTACTTTACTTTTAGGATTCTGTTATGAGCTTCCAAATAAAGAGAAATTAAGATGTAAACAGATATAAGTTTAAGTTAAAACCAAATTCTTTCATAATAACTTATTTCAGATAAACATTAGCTTTTCCATGTGTGTATAGTTTATTTATTATTTGACTTTTTTAAAAACAGAAGAACACAAACAATAAGTTTTCTCAAAAAAGTGCTTTTTATTATTTTTTATATTATTCATTGAGCATCAGATTTTAAATGGAATAATCAATGGCTTATTTGTTCTACACAATTAAATATTATTATTTTAATTGCATTTTTATTTTATTCACAGCAAAGCTTTGAAACTTTTAAATGTTTTATATTGAATTTTAACCTTTTATTCACTGTAGTCTCTTGTTATTTTTCTTGAGATAGAATTTAAAATTAAATCAAAGAAATAAATAATGATAATCATAAATTTTGTTAACTCTGAAAAAAATTGACTTACTTAAAGATAACTAAAATTTGTAAATTTTATTTTATAATTCATTATTTTGAAACATTTTATCTTGTTTTTATTGTCTTTATTTTTTATATACAACTTCTAAATTTTCATCACATATATAAACTTGCTTTCATTTCTTTGGATGTCTTGGTTGGGATCAAATTTACCACATTTTTTCCCATTGTCTTTAAAATGTTATAAATAAATAAGAACCAGGAGCAAATAGACATGATGAAATAACAACTAGGTATTACTGTGTTTTAATGCAGAAAACTTTACTTTCTGTAATCTTCTCTTTTAGCTCTTTTTTTGCCATGAGAAGGAAAAATAGGGACACTTGAAGCTTCTTACATAAACAAACTCACAAACATTATAGAGGGCAAAACATTCTCTAAAGCTTGTAAGTGTGTGTATTGTTGAGAAAAAATAATGCTTATTGATTTTAATATATTTTGATGTCACCATAGTGATAGATTTGAACAACAAATTTACTGAAATGTGTTGAGACATTTTCAACATGCCATTCTTTTGATAGAGAACATATAGGGTGGGGCAAAATATGTTTACAGTTGTGAGTATATAAAACACATAGTTTCTTCTTGTGCTATTACATATTAATTATTGTATTGTTTTTACACACAAAAAAACTGTAAACCTACTTTTGCCCCACCCTGTATATGAAGTGTATCAGATAATTTACATATTAACAGGAAGTATAAATAGATTTCTTTTAAAAACCTCTCATATATCATTTATAAAGTAGCATTTTGTCACAAAGCAGTTATTTGAGAGTCTATGCAGGGAATTTGGAGAAAGTTTGGATTTTCTCTATTTTCTATCTCTCTCCTCTCCTGAACATTGCCACAGTTTTCTGCAGATGTTTTTTTTTTTCAATCTTTTCAGATGCTATTGTTCTATGAAAATATAAGTTTTCATTCATTTAAATCAATCAACTTCTTGAATGGTTTAATTCCTGAATTTTATGAAGGCTGATCTTCAGCTGTTTTCAGAAGTCCTTCCACTTTAGGAAGCAAAAGAGAAATTAAAATAGAACAAAAAATTCCAGGAAGAAAGGGAAAAAGTAGGTAGGGATTGAAATATTAGTTAGTCTTCCTCCGCTTCAGTCAGAAACAAGCCTTCCACTAGACCCCATTGCTTCTTTAATTTCATTATGCTGCCTAAAAATGAATAGTTCATATTCATTGGTGCGAGAAGTATAGAACTAGAAAGAACTTAAAAGCTTTCTCCTCTTCTCTGTATTATCTATTTTTTTAGTAAATCTTTTTCCCCATCTTTAACCCTAGTTCTCATACTGAAGACTTATCATGTATTCCTCATCTGAGTTATAGTTGCCCATCTTTCTTCATCAGATTTAACCCAAACTTTTCCAGAGTATAGTTTGCTAACATTTTAAGAAAGAATTATATGCTTTACTCTTTCTAATATTTTAGCATAAAAGTCAAAGTTTCTTTCCATTGTCAACTCATATTCATTTTTTTGGTGAGCATTTTGTGATTTAGCCAGGATAAGAATGTCATTTCCACTGTGTCCCACTGTTTATAGTAAATGCCTTTCTTTCTTGTATATTGAAACAATCAATAAGATTTTCCTACATTATTGGATAATTCCATATTTCATGTTTTCCAATATATCTTCTATCCAATGAACACTATTAAGATCTTTATTTGTTGCCTGACTTTCAAGTTCATGTCTCAAATGAACAGGTTAGATTTAATTCCAAAGGTCTTTCCAAGTATAATATTCTCTAAATGGTCTCTATCTGTAAAGTTTTAGGTTTTCTCTTTCTGCTTTAAATTTACTACAACTGTTTTCATACTTGACTGCTATTCCTCACTACATTCTTTTTCTCCTTTTGACTGGGTGCCTACTCGCTGTGCTATCTTTTCTGTCCTTATATGTCCTGGTGGGCTCATTTACTGTTACTGCTGCTAAGGTGCCAGCTGCTGCTGAATATACCCTTTGGTGTTTGAACATAGGAGTGCTCTCCTAGGGTTTTTAGTTACTGGAAAGTTTTGATATGTGCATACTTTTGTTTCTAATATTCTATTTCATGGAGCCCTTGAGTTGGGAGCCACAAATATTCTACACAATGCCTAAATAGAGTAGTTTACTACACAATTGTGGGGTTTTATTTTTTAATAACAATAGTGATGATAACTTATGATAACAACAGTACAATTTATTTGCTGTGCAATTACAAGTCGTCAGGACTTGTGCAAAGTGGTTTACATGCATAATGTCATTTAACCCCTAAAAAATTTAACACCTAAAAGTACTTTCTACCACTATCCCTATTTTTACATCCCTGTCTGATACTTAGACTTTAGTAACTTAACTCCTAACACACAAATATACCCAATCTCATGTAGTTCCAGTGAGAAGGTCATTTTCATTTTTGATTCTAAAACTTCTAGTTTGACTTTAAACAGGAAATTGTTGATTTGAGTTTCACTGTTATGGTCATTCAGCTGTAGATGTAACACATTGCCAATTTAGGA